CCTTTTATTCACTGTTAGTCTGATATACAGTATACTACACGTATTGTATGGCATTGTCTCCCTCTATGAGTGTCTATTGACCTAAAGTTGTTAAAAGTTGCCTTTTTAATCATGGTCGATATGGTAAGTATATCGCACTTCAAAGTGGATATATTTCTATGTTGTCGTATTTGTTGGAAAGCAGTCGTCATTGTTGTGTAGTATTCAGTATAATATGGATGTAATGGCAGTAATGGCACTGATTTGAGACCACTTTGCGCTCAAATGTTGTCTTAAAATGTATTTAAGAAATAATAGCCATTCAAAGGACGCGGAAGAGTCGGCCACACAATCACCCAATGAATCCAATGTATGTCTTGACGAGTGTTGAACACATGGTATCACTTATTATATGTATTGTATGTTTCAGTCAATTGCCGGCAAATCCAATGCACGGAAAGGCTTTCTTCGAGGGATGACTACAACAGAAACTCATGACAAACAGAAAGTGATGTTAAATACGGTTCGGACGCACTCTCGCACCCGATCCGAGTCATCACAACCGACTGACACCACCCCTGACGCCACCCCTGACCCCAACCCTCGCACCAACCCATGCTCTACACAACCCATGCCTACCAACCCTAACACCGGCACCAAAGATAAGGCGCGAAAGACATTCGCAATGCCTTTACCACCAAATAGTAGTGTCGTTGACAAGACTTCGTCGACCACTCCATCCGAATCCAACTTCTCTCAAGACGAGGGGTCGAGTCATTCAACTGCCGGAACGCCGGGGAAGCGGAAGAAGAGGCGCTTCTATAAGGGCGCGACTTATGGGCTCTTTCTCTCCAAAAAGAGAAAGAAATTAAAGGAACAAAAGAAAGCATTGAATCCAAAGTCAAGCTCTAAATGCCTGACCATTAGTGGCGCCGATGGAGAGGACAGCTCTCAATCATTTGCTGCGAACTCGGAATCTGACGAATCATCGGATCTGTCCAACGGTGACGACAACCCAAACCATACTAACGATGACATTCATCAAGAATTTCTTGACGTCGAAGAAGTGATTTGCGAACAATCGGTTCCTATCGGTGACGAGGTTTTAAAGAATGACACGAATGAGAAATTGTTGCCAAATGAGACTCAATGCGAGAACATAGAGACCAATGCTTCGAAAACATTGTCTCCAAAGCCGACCAATACATCCCCTGTCGAGAAAACAAGGAGAAAGACCGCCAAAAGTGGCCGTCGAGTCGATGGTGTCTCTGAAGATGACTATCAGTCGCCGCCGTCGAGCGTCAACTCAAAGACTAATGCATCGAAAGAAGACTCCAAACAATTGGTCCCAAATCTGGATGAGTCGCTCAATGCTAACGTCGAGAATGAGACCAATCCTTGTCCTGTCGTTGGATCCACGCCTCAAGTTTTTGAATTGCCCTCAAATAACGTTAACTCAAGTGTTGTACAAAACCCCAATCGGAGGACATTATTACGAATATCAACGGCCGGGTCTGTGATGACGGGCGACACGACTGGAACGCAAATGGGGGCCCAATCCTCAAAGATAGTACATGTGGTGAGTTGTAATGGTTTTGTCGGAATTGCTTAATATTAAATTGTATGAAATGTGTTGTATTAATAGAAAGACAAATCAAAAGCTCATTTGACTCACTGTATGTGTTCTGCGAAACCACTTATCGATAGCTCACAAAAAGATATATCTAAAGGAAAACCACTGTTTTGTCAGGCGATCGACTGTTTTGATGAAAAGGTTAGTTTGAAAGTTGTGGCTCTAATAATGTTTGAACTAATTGTGGTATTGTTTAGTTGATTGGGTGCTGCAATCAGGTGCGACTCACCTCTTTGTTCCGCTCTTCAAAACGAGTTCCGTATCGTATTCTATGTGAAGTACATTTGGCGAGACTGCGGCGACACCACTGCTGTCCCGGTTGTGGTTTATTCTGCACTCAGGGAGAGTTCAATGAATGCTTTTGTGTTAAAAAGCAGATCCACTTGTTTCACAACAAGTGTCAGGTCGAGCGCCCACACGATCCTAAGACACAACATTGTCTTCATTGTGGAAACATATCTCCAGAGCGCACCGTTAGACTCGAGATGAACGGTCCCCTCACTAACAACACATATTACTTACAGCAGACGTCTATTCTTAAAACGTATTCTCACTTGAGTTGACTTGAATTTGAAATTTACCTCTAATTATGTCCTCATTTCAGACCTAAAGCGCGAATAGCTATGACTAAAAGGAAAGGCAAACAGAAAACACAAACGCCTTCTCAAGAGTATGAGGAACCGGGCATTGAGTATACCATTCCTGCCACACAAAAGACGCTCTCTTTAGGTTTGTTTTGAACATTGAATACATTGTTTGTAATGTGATTACTATTAGCGGGACTTCCATTTGGTCCGCAACGCAAACAACTGGAAGAGCTTTTACTGAACTTATCGGCCGATAAACAATCGATTCGACTAACAATACAACACAACAAGAATTTTTATGCGGTCGCCAAAAGTGGTGAAGTGGACAAAGTGTTAAGCATTTTAGGTGACATTTATTTTCTAATTAGGCAAATGACACTTTGATTGATGTTTTGATTGATTCATTAATAGCTCAGGGCTTTGATCCTAACTTCCCCTTTGAAGACAATGACAACGAGACACCTCTTCATACGGCGGCTAATTGTGGCCATATATTAGTTGTTCACCTATTGATACAGTCGGGCGCTAACCCTAATGTTCTGAACAAAAACATGACAACACCTTTAATGCAGGCCATTGAACATAAACACAATGTTGTCGTCAAATACTTGATTAATTCGGGCGCTTCTCTCGACATCAGAGGAGAGGATGGCATGACTTCATTACATATCGCCGCCAAATGCGGTAATATAGAGGCCGTTCATTATATCCTCAATTCGGGAAAGATTAACGTTAATCTTCAGGATGAGGGCGGATGGTGTGCATTGGGTTTGTTAGCAATCATAACCATAAGCATTGCCATTTGATTGTGCTTTTGAATTGTTTGAATGATAGTGTGGGCCACAGAACACAAGTATTATAATATCGTTAAACTATTGGTCAGCAAAGGAGCCGATCCTAACATAGAGGACGACGAAGAGAATGTTGGTCTTCATTGGGCGGCTTTTTCTGGTGAAACAAACATTGCATTTATGTTCTTAGAAATGGGCGCTAATGTCATAAACCAGACCAATATTCACGGCGACACTCCTCTACATATCGCCGCTCGAAGAGATAATTACGAGTGTGTCGTGTAAGACAACCAACTATTATAACAACTAACAATTGTTTATTACATATTTGCTATTTAAATGTTATTTTATAGTCTACTACTCTCTCGTGGGGCAGACATTACATTAATGAATAAAAATAACGAATCGCCGCTTCAGGTATTAATTAATACACTTATAACCATTACCATCAGTCTAATTGTTATAGTTGTTTTATTCAAACATAAATGTTACCCATATTTGTATCTATAATTGTTATGATTAATGATGTTTTCCATATATGATATACCAGTGCGCGCCTAAAGATAGCGAATCGGAAATGGCTTTGAAAGTGAATCAAGAATTAAAACGATTTTCAGTAAAACGTCAACTAAATAGTGAAAAACTATTGCATAGAGATTTGTCTAAAGGCAAAGAATACTATCAAATACAAGTGGTTAATGGTTTCGATAACGAGCCCTATCCTATCGACTTCATGTATGTGACTGACAATTGTGAGGCCTCGCAGATCAACATTGACCGCACCATTACTTCTCTTCAGGTGTCAATCAAATATGATTTCGATGTTTTTCACTGTTTTTTGTCTCACAGTTTCTGTATATTTAACTTGAATTTGAATGTTAACAGAGCTGTCAATGCGAGGACGACTGTACGTCACAGAAGTGTGTTTGCGCTGCCATTAGCTTCAGGTGTTGGTACGATAAAGAGGGCAAACTATTACCTGAGTTCAATCTAATGGACGCCCCCATGATATTTGAGTGCAACCGCGCCTGCAGTTGTTGGAAGACATGTAACAATCGTGTCGTTCAATATGGCGTTAGGTATTTAATGGCAATATTACTGGTATTATATGAATAATATATGTGTTATCCATTTTTTAGATCTCGTCTACAAGTGTTCAGAACGGAAGGCAAGGGATGGGGTGTCCGAGCGCTCAGAGATATTCCTAAAGGAACCTTTGTTTGTGAATATGTTGGAGAAATCATCAGTGATTCTGAGGCCGATAGACGTGAAGATGACTCCTATTTGTTTGATTTAGACAATAAGGTTTGATAAAGAGACTAATTAATTGTTACATTAATTAAACACATTATAATAATATCATATATTTATACCGTAATCATATAATTAGTTTCAAAATTATTAATATTTCTAATGAAAATTTGTTTAAATGACGAAAACATAATACCGTACATATAAAAATGTCATGTTAAACATGTTATGGTTGATGTAAGTAATGCATGAACTTTTGTATTTGGTGTAATAGGATGGCGAGACCTACTGTTTGGACGCCCGATTCTATGGCAATATCTGTCGATTTATAAACCATTTATGTAACCCTAATCTAACACCAGTGAAAGTGTTTGTTGACCATCAGGATCTATCATTTCCTAGAATTGCATTATTTAGTTCCAGAGACATCAGAGCCTATGAAGAGTTGGGGTAATTGATTGATATGTAATTGATTTAATTGATTAATACTTGATTTGATTGGATTCTATAGTTTCGATTACGGGGAGAAGTTTTGGGTCATTAAATACAAGACATTCACCTGTAGTTGTGGTTCAGATGACTGCAAATACAATAAGCAGACAATTCATACAACTATTGAGAACTACTATAAAAGGCTTCGCGACGAACAGCTCTCTATTTCCAGTCCTATTGACACCTTATATCACGAATGAATGATTTCATTAATTCTAACCACATATACAACAAACAATTCAATCATCTTTTCTCTAAATTTATTTAATATATTATAAGTTTATTTCATTTAATAATTATATTAATCCATCAAATCTATACATCAATTCATAATATTTATAATTCCTTTTAGTTTTACTTTGAATTGTATTATAAATATCTTATATTTAATAGATTTTTGCCATAATTATAATTTAAGTTTACTTTTTTATGATTAAAAATTTTCAATTATATATTTTCATTTTATATTTTATAATTATTTGTATAATTTTTTAAATTATGTATTGAATTGCATTTATGAGACTTTAGAGAAGACAATAACAATGAATTAATTTCACTTTAAGAATCATTATAATTTATAATTTACAAACATTGTTTTATTAATTTGACTAATTAGGACATTTGCCCAATGGTTGGCAATGATTGCAATTTGAAAAGCCTCTATCGTTTACTGTTCATAAATGGATAGTCACTTCTTTTTTCTCCCGTCTCTGTCTGCGGGCAAATAAAACTTAAGAATGTTTGTCGAACCGCTTTGTGGAACCGTTAGAGTAGAGATGACATATGAACTATACTTTAGTATAGTTGGAGTAATGTTCTCACTCGTGAAGATAAGCATCCTGGTTATACTGTATATCTATAAAAAAAATAGCACAAAAGTATGAAATATGCAGAATAGGTATTGATGTGATGAGAACATTAAATAATTTATTCATTTCTCAAGGTTGTCTAAAAATGGGTTTTATTTAAATTAAAAATAATTGACAAAATCTTATATAAATTGGTTTTCAAATTTAAAAAATACTTCAAAAGAAACTTTAGAAAAGCCATCATTAAAATGTGATATTCCGTCAAATTGAGTGACGCGTGAATGTGTTGCTAAATTGATAAATGCAGTCAACTATCTCATTAAATTACAAAATTGAGATTAAATCTCAATTATTTTATCGAAAATTATTAATTTTATACTTATTTATTATATAATTATTGCATAGGTTTTAGTATTAATAATATGCATTAATAATTGCGTGGCTTTTGTACACTTCTGCTACGTTGCCCTAGGGCATATTGTTTTATTAAATTGGTGATACTGTATAGAAATCAATTATACTGTATAATTAAAACGATTAATATTTTTATTAAATAAATTTATTATTTTGAATATTATGTGACGTATGAAATTATTAAAAATATTAAATAATAAAAAAAATTGCTAAAAACTAATTAAATTCTTCAAATAAATTGGATTCTCATTAATAAATTTCAAAACAAATAAATAATTTATACTAATTTCTGATAGAATTACAATGCATTATATGAGGGCTACAATTATACAGTTAACTAAAGCTTTATAATAACACTTCAATATCCGAGTGTTTTCATACAAATTGTGCTTTTAGTATCTGTACGACAACTTGAGTTCACTATTTAATAGTTTATAACCAAATATTGCCTCCTTTTAACTATTGACGAAAGCAATCAAATAATAAAACAAAAGCGAAAGTACTGTCTGTTTGAGTTTGTTTTGCAATTGCATTCAAACCCAATAGGTTTTACTCTTACGAAACCTTTTAATCAATGAATTTGATCAATAGTTTATCCCATTTGAAACCTATCTTATAATCACAAATCCAAACCATAAGAAATTGCATTTCTTAAAACTTTATACAAATTACACTTTAAATATTTATTATTATTTTATTAAAAATTAAATTGTGATTTGAATCGTTTGCTATTTTTACATTTTATTTAATACATTACATTTTATTTGAATTAAGGTGTAGAATATATTCTCTGCCAATAGTTTGAAATAACTATGTATGGTTTTACAAATATTGTTTACAATATATTCTATGAACTTTATATACAATATATTCTTTACATTATATCTACCATATGCAGCATTTACTGTACATATTGTACTGTACAGTACAATATTTATCTAGACGGAAATTATATTATATTGTGAATAGAATATAACATTTGATTAAATGTGAAAAGAAATCATTTATATTGTATTTGCATTGAAATGGACACAATCACTGCAACGACCACTTTAATTGTTAAATACAAATATGTTTTCATTTATTTATACAGTACTGTATTTTGCTTTACTTCACTGTACATGGTCATTTGACAACAAATTCAATATATTTTATTTCAAGTGTATTATACGATAAATTCGTCAATTAATTAAATTGAAAACTTACCTAATATATTAGTAAAGCATTGATTCTTATGTGATACAAATCATCTTATACTTAAATAATGACTGAAAATGTTGCTAAAAATATGATAAAATGATATGAAAAAGTTATTTATTTTATATAAAAATTATAACAATAAATAATTCTTATGTAAAATTTAACGTTGAGTTTGAATATGAAGCTTAGAACACTGCATCTATAATAATTTTGAAGTTATTTGGCTTTGAACGTTTGATTGATAATTTTAGTTACGTAATTTATTGAAGAAGTATATTAATTTAATGTAAAGTTTAGATTTGGGAACATAATATGTTATATTAAATTAAAATTTTAAATAATTGTTCAACTCTTCCATTGTTTATGTAATTGTAATTGTTTAAAAACTAAATATATTTATTCAGCAACTATTTTGTAAAATATCCACTAATTCCGTATAAAATTAGCAAAACATTGAAATAGTTACTATCAAAATATTCTCCGCTTTAGGGACAAAAAGTTATTTAGCTTAGAATCAATGCTTTATATATTAGATTTTATATTTGTTTCGTGATTTTATAAGTTGTATGAAAAATTTCTTATATTTTTAAAGTTAATTTATAATTTATAAGATTCTGAAAATGTGAAAATGTACAAAATATGTTTAATAATAATCATCATTAATATATTATTTATAATATAACTCCTAAAATGATGGAACATAATATAATTAATTTTAATTTTTTAAATAAAGGTTTTGCAAATAAGCAAAAATTGTTTAAAAAGTTATACTTATATAAGATTTATTCTTAATTTATTGATGAATTAATTTGATAAATATAGACACGTTTCGAATGTGTGGTTCCAGTCTATGGGCGACTCATTCACTAAAATGCCTTCTCTTATATGATATAAGTTATATCTAAACTTTTAATCGTAAACACATTACAAGTCAATATAAATTTTACGTATAACATACAGTAAACACACAATATTTACAATATTTTAAAAAAATATATAAAATAGAACTAATAGATATAATTAGACTTTAACAAATAAAGCTAAGGTCCTAAGTAAAACTTTACATAATCTCAAAAAGTAAAAATACAGAACCGATTTTAAGTAATTTAAGAAAACGCATTATTACTGAACTCAATTCATATCAATATTTATTACAATTATTATAATAATTAATTTTACAAATGAAACATTTTACAATAATTTTTTACATTAAGATTTTGGCATTTTGTGCTCGCATTTTGTTACTAGGGCTCAAAACTGGCTCATTTATAATATAAAGTTTATATTTCAATTTTATATTCTAAAAACCATTTTTACTAAATTGAGTTCAAAAATTGATGACAGAATACAAGATAGTTGTCGATTAATTAAACCATTAATTAAACTTAATTATATTAGAAATAAAGTAGTTTTAAATTAACTTCCCACTTTACAAATAATAGCAGAGAGAGAGAGAGATCTATTATTTCATATTTAACTGTAGTGTATATAACATGTAATTTCATATTTTGGCTCATGGGCCAACCCAATGCAACTTTACTATAAAGTTCTTATTAAAATGAGTAAACTGTAAAAAAATATAGGATTGAATTTTATCACGTCAAATAAAAACATATTTGTGCTTTATATGTCTATTATATAATATAATTTTACACATTGTATAGTATTAGTGTATCTAGGGATTTGTGTATATTATAATTAAATATCTAATTTAACTAATATAAAGCGTTTCGATTTATTTGTGATTTTTAGATCTTACATATTGCAAATACCGTTACATAATATATGAATAAATATTAATTTTAAACTTACTTTAGGTTTTATCGTGATTGTTGTTAATCATCCATGTTAACAAACGAGTGAACATTTTATAGAAATGTTTGTTAAAAATACTTTGTAATAATAATGAGTTAATTATTGTTATAATATTTAAATATATTAATAGTATTTATGATGAAATAAAGTGGAAAAAAGTTGGTTTTAAACACTGAAAGATTACTCATTGGCCAATCTTATGAACATTACACTGAAGCTCAATTCACAGTCAGTTTGGTTTCAAAACTGCGCCAACCGTTCACTCGAACGCACAGTTAGTATTAGATTTGTGTTCACAGAATAACTTATCGTTACTCTCTTTTACTCCACACAAATACACCTGCGCTCTCTCTCTCTCTCTCTCTCTCTCTCTCTCTCTCTCGCTTTATTTATCATTTCTAATTGTAAAAGTAGTTCTTCAGTATATA